CTGTCATGCTAGGTGGTGGGTATGTATGTGTGTTCCAACCGACAGCGACCCTGTAGAGGGTTTCCAAGGCTGTAAATCTTTACAGGTGCAGAAAGCCTCATCTTTCTCCTGTGGAACAGCTGGTAGTTTTAAACTGCTGACGTTAAGGTTAGAAGCCCAACTTGTAGCTACCACGCTACCAGATCTCCTTACCATGTTGTTGCTGTTGAGTCGGTTCCGACCCATAGTGACCCTGAACAGGGTTTCCAAGGCTGTAAATCTTTACGGGAGCAGAAAGCCTCATCTTTCTCCCATGGAGCAGCTGGTAGTTTGGAACTGCTGACCTTGCGGTTCTCAGCCCGATTTGTAACCACTACACTACCAGAGCTCCTTCTCCTTACCATGAGAATCTCTACTACCCCACCCTCCATGTTTGGTTCTGCTCTGTCTGAGACCCCAGACCTTGTGTTGTTGTAGGCTTACTGCTTATTTGGACTTGCTTACCCCTGCTCTCGTTTTTAGCCTTGGCTCTGCCCTGGCTCTGCATTTGCCCATTGTGACTGGCAGGTCTCCTTGAAACCTTAAACTCTGTCCTTAATTAATGTCTCCAGAAAAGGCTTCTTACATAGCATAAGCCTGCCACAAGCCAAAGCTTCTTATTCTGTCTGGTTCTGTCTTTCTAAAGGACAGAAATGCTGCCCTGATTCTGCTGTGGCCTACCTGCGTGACTGCTGCTCTGGGAGTTGGAAGTTCAATAAACAGCCTTCAGCCCCATAACCCTCTTGTCTGTTCTTATTGCTACTCAAGCATTCCTACGACGCCAGCAGAGCCCAGGGCAGTGAGATATTGTCTACAGCTACTCTTGCTGTGCAGATAGGTGACTTCAACAGAATCTGGGTACAGTAACAGGTTAGGGTTGAGACTTGCTCCTCTTCAAGAATAAGTGAAGGACTCCTGCCAGTTGTCACTTTCTCAGGGACTGTCAGGTTAAATGGACTTTTCTATGCCTCCAAATGTTTCAATAATCCAATTCCTATTTCTTGAGTATGTTGTTGTTCTTAGGTGCCATCAAGTTAGTTCCAGCTCATAGTGACCCTGTGCTCAAGAGAACGGAACACTGCCCACTCCTGTGCCACCCTCACAATTGTTGCTACGTTTGAGCCCGTTTCGGCTACCACTGTGCCAGTCCATCTTGTTGAGTGGTCTTCCTCTTTTTTGTTGACCCTACACTTTGCCAAGCAGATGTCCTCCAGGGACTGGTCCCAAAGTATGAGAGATGAAGTCTCACCATGTTTGCTTCTAAGAAGCATTCTGACTACTTCTTTCCGGACAGATTTGTTTGTTCTTCTGGCTTTCCATTGGTACTTTTAATGTTCTCTAACACCAGAATTCACATGCCTATGAGACGGTTGGAAATACCATGGCTTGGGTCAGGTGCTCCTTAGTCCTCAAACTGACATCTTTGCTCATTAACACTTTAAAGAGGTCTTTTGCAGCAGGTTTGCCTGATGCAATCTGTCATTTGATTTCTTGATTGCTGCTTCCCTGCATGTTGGTTGTGGGTCCAAGTAAAATAAAGTCTTTGAAAACTTCAATCTTTTCTCTGTTTATCATGATTTTATTTATTGGCCCAGTTGTGAGGATTTCTGTTTTCTTCACATTGTGGGACAATTGATAGTGAAATCTGTGGTCCTTGATCTTCATCAGTAAGTATTTTAAGTCCTTTTCACTTTCAATGCCAAAAGGATAAACCAATCTGTGTTGAAAGAAATACAGCCAGAATGCTCATTAGAAGCCAGGAGAGCCAGACTTCGTCTCTTATACTTCGGGCATATTATCAGGTAGGACCAATCCCTGGAAAAGATCATATTTGGTAAAGTGGAGGGTCAGGGAAAGAGAGGGAGGCCCCCAATGTGATGGATCGGCATAGTGGCAGCAACTGTGGACTCAAATGTATCAATGATTGTGAGATTGGCCCAGGACTAGGCAGTGTTTCATTCTGTTGTGCAATAGGGTCACTGTGAGTTGGTACCGACTTGATGGCACTTAACAGTAACATCAAATGTTATTTTAAAAAGGTATATACAATGAATAAGTCTTGCAAAACTCTATCATGCTTTCTCCAGCATCATTTCTATTGCTAAGGCCATATTTCCATGGCCTTTGTTTCTAACCTTTGCGTTCTAATCACTAGTAATTATCAATACAGTTTGATCAATTTCAAATTGAAGAAGTTGGTAGAATTCTTCAATTTCATCATCAGTGGTTTTAGTGGTTGGTGTGTAAATTTGAATAGTGATATTAATTGGTTGTCCTTGTTGGTGAATGGATATTATCACAGACAGAATTGTACTTCAAGATAAATTTTGAAATGTTCTTTTTTGATGATGAATGCAATGCCATTTCTCTTGAATTTGTTGTTCTGGTATAGTAAACTATATGATTGTCTGATTCAAAATGGCTAATATCAGTCCATTTCAGCTTTGCAATGTCTAGGATAGCGATATTTATGCATTCCATTTTATTTTTTGCAACATCCTATTTGCCTATAATCGTACTTTGTACATTCCACGTTCCAGTTATTAATGGATGTTTGCAGCTGTTTCTCCTCATTTTGAGTTGTGCCCCATCTGCAAATGAAAATCATGAAAACTTTACTCCATTCGTGTCATTATGGTCAGCTCGACTTTGGGGAGGCAGCTCTTCCTCAGTCGTATTTTGAGTGCCTTCCAGCCAGAGAGGCTTATCTTCCAGCACAATACCTGATAATGTTCTGCTGTTCATAATTTTTTCATCTTCTGGTTCTATATCTGACAGTGTTCCACCGCAAATCATCAGGTTTTCAGAGGCTAAATATTTAGAAGTAGTCTACCTCAGCTTCCTAGTCTGTCTTAGTCTGGAAGCTCTACTGAAATCCGTCTACCATGGCGTTTGTCCACCTGCTGGCATTTAACATACTCGTGGCCTAGCCTCCAGCATGACAGCAACACACAAGCCCACCACAGTACAACACTGATAGATGAGTGATGGCCCTTCCAGGTAGAAGATGGACAGCAGAACGCAAGCATGAGTCTCAGCTCCTGTGGGGGTGTGTCTGAGCATTGACACACGGTCAGACTCTAGAGAGCCAAAGGGCCAGCCTGTGGAGTGAAGAGGTGGCCGCCATGGGTGCTCATCCAGCAAAGTAGCCATGGTGACTCTGGGCACTTCTCCCTAGCCTTTTAGTCTCCCTTCTCCCTGCAGACTTTACCCATTTGCGTGTATCTTCCAGCACTTCTTGTCTTGCAGAGAAGGCCCCTTATTGTTTTTGTGTTTCATGCATGGACTCAGAATTCTGATGTCTACTGGAAGTGGCTTCAGAGATCACCTGGCTGTTCCTTAGCAATTTCAGATGGAGGTTACACAACAAGCCAACTGCACAGCCATGGACAGGGTTTGGGGCTCCCAATTCACAGGCCAGGCTTCTGTCCTCTGCCGCACACTGCCTCACAGAATACAGTATGTTGTTCACTCAGCAGATGTTGAAGACCTACCATGTTGCTGATGCTGTGCTGAGTGGGAGTTGGGCAGTAGTGGTTGAGTGGGGCAGCACAGGAGGAGAGAGACGGGAACTGACCCATCTCAGATAGCTTCAGGTACGACTCCTGTCTCCTTAAACATCTGCAGGGTGGGTCCCTGATGGCAGCAGCTGTGTCTTCCACAGTTCCTTGCTCGATGCTAGTCATAATTGGTCTTTCGAAAAACGAAATCCAGACTCACTCCCATTGAGTTGATGCTGACCTTATAGGATTGAGGAGAAGTGCTCCTTAGGGCTGCCCGAAGGACATCTGCAGGAGGAGGCAGCCTCATCTTTCTCTGGGAACAGCTGATGGGTTTCAACTGTCAACCTTTTGGTTAGAAGCTTAGTACATGACCCACGGCACCCAGGGCTCCTTGATTGGTCCTTGGCAATTACCTAATAAGGTAATAATGGGTTTACTTGTGCTTACTAATTTGTAATGAACAACTTCACATGGGCTTCACCACCAGAAACCCACTGCCATTAATTTGGTTCTGACTCATGGGAACCCCTGTGTAGCGTTTCTGATGCCGTGAATCTTTATGAGAACAGTAAGCCTCATCTTTCTCCTATGGAAAGACTGGTGGGTTTGAACTGCTGACCTTGGGGTTAGAAGTCCAGTGCTTATCCTACAGTACCCTCACATCTACTTCCCCACCCTCTTTCAGGATTGTGCATGTTTGTTCCTTCTTTCAAAGTTACTTCCTTTTTACTCTGGAAAACGTTGGCTTGTTCTGGACGCAACCCAATTATTATCATTTTTGTGAAATGGTCTGTCACTTCTTAGACAATCATTTCTTGAAATGCCCCAGTACCTGGTATAGGCCTATCTCGTTAAGTGCTGTCGAGTCGGTTCCAACCCATAGTGACCCTGTATAGGGCTTCTGAGGAGCAGTTGGTGTGCTTGAACCGCCGACCTTGGGGTTCAAGCCGACTTTGCAGTCCAGCGCGTTAGCCCACAGCGCTGCATCAGGGTTCCAGGCCTTTCTCATAACACTTGTCGTATTACATTATAACTCCCATGTCAGAGGTCTGGTTGGGTGGGGTGTGTCTGATGTTCTTACCAAACTGTGTCTAGAAGCTGGGACTGCTGATCCCCTCAGCTTGCCAGTTGGCTGACTCTTAGCAACCCTGTGTGTGTCCAAGCACAACGACATCTCCTAGGGTTGGTCAGTGGCTGATTTTTCAGAAGTAGATTGCTGAGCCTTTCTTCTGAGGTGCCTCTGGGTAGACTCAAACCTCCAACCTTTTAGTATAAGCCAAGCACATTAACTGTTTGCACCACCCAGGGACTCTTCAAGAACACCAGTGTTTGGCCTGGGATCTAACACATGCTGCTCAGTACAAGCTGGGGCGAACGTATGAATGCAGGGACACCTCTTGTTCTACTTTTAGGTCCTAAATCCTGACAGAACCTGACAGAGGCCAGGGTTGGAAAGCTCCCGGGACTCAGAACCACCCAATGGAGCCAGGAGCCTCATCTCAACCAGCTGAACCGATGGTGGAGAGAAAATTCCATGTTCTTGTGGGGGTCACCGGGAGTGTTGCGGCCCTGAAGTTGCCCCTTTTGGTGTCTGGCCTTTTGGACATTCCAGGGGTAAGTACTCTCAGTAGACAGGCCTGGTAACATCTAGAATTAGCCTCTGCCCCTTGGGCTCAGCCTATTTCTGTGCAGTGGATTGGGGTTTCTTAATTATGCGGAGGTCCTCTGTGTTGGCATGTGGAGGACACAGGAGACAGACCAATGTCAAAGTACATCCGGGACAGCATGAGGTGGGGGAGGACAAGGACGCACTTTTGAAGGGAGGGCTCAGGCTCTGTACTGATCCTGAGACTCCCTGGGGTCCTGGTGTGGGAGGAGGGCTGGCTGGACAAATGTAGCCAGTTCTTAGCTTCCCCTTGTTGCCTTGGAATCCCCTCCTCGTGCTTTTACTCCCTCCTAAGTAATGTGGTTCTGTTAGTCAGGTGCATGGAAACCTCAGTGACTCCCTACTGGTCTCAAACTTCGCTCCTTCAGCTTTTCAGAGATACACAGGGCCACCATAGCATGTTTGTGAAGTAGATGGGGGGAGCTTTAGTCCTCTGCCCTTGGCCAGACCACCTCAGCTTCCTTCGTCCCCCTGTTCCTCTCACACACACACAGAGGGAAGGACCTGCAATCTTTGCTTTAATAAGATTTCTAAATGGTGGCGGTGGTGTACTGTCGAGTCAGTTCTGACTCATAATGACCCTGTATAGGGTTTCCAAGGCTGTAAGTCTTTATGGGAGTAGAAACCTTTATCTTTCTCTTGTGAAGAGGCTGGTGGATTTGAACTGCTGATCTTGCAGTTAGTAGTCCAACACATAACCCACTCTGCTACCAGAGCTGCTTCTGATTCCCACTAGAGCTTGGGAATCACTGTGATAGATCCATTTTGGGGGTGGATGGGTAGGAGTAAGAAGTGAGGGTTAGTTAGAGACAGGACTAGGACTTTGTTATGGTTAGGATGAGGGCTAGTGTTAGGATGAAGTGTTGGACTAGGGCTAGGAATAAGGCTTTATTCAGCTTTTAGGGCTATTTTGTTGTTGTTAGGTGCCATCGAGTCGGTACCGACTCACAGTGACCCTATGCACAACAGAACAAAACACTGCTGGGTCCTGGGACCAACCTTACAATTGTTGCCACGCTTGAACCCACTGATGCTGCCACTTTGCCAATCCATCTCACTTGGGGATCTTCCTCTTTT